GGGACACTTTCAGGCGATAGTGTTTTTGGGCAATTTGTTGCTAACATCGCTTCAGACATTTTGGTGTTAGTTTTCTGTTTCAAGTTATACAGCGAAATCTGGACGACTTTGTCCTTTGCGCGTTCGGGATCTGATCGTGGTTGATTGATTCCTACAGTTGCTAGAGGCTTTAGGAAGAATATAGGTGGCCCTAAAGCGGTGAATTCACATCTCTCAATATTTACGGATCTTTAGACGTGGTCTACTCTATATCGTGTTCTTCCCATTTTGTTATTGCAGTTAAGACTATAGTGTAGTATAGTCATTTATTTTTTACATTAAAAGTCATTGTGTGGAGTGACGTTAGGTTTGAATTACCGTAAAGGTGTAATCATTGTCTGTTGCTAGATCTATGAATTTCTTGTTAATTATTTACCTTTAATTCTTTGTGAATTTGTCGTCAATTATTTTTCATTATTAGACTTGCACATGACCTTAAGAAAGTTTTGTTCGATCATTCTGTTTGAACTGTATCTGTACTTTGTTTGTGGTTGTCGTTGGTTTCATTTTGTATTTTATGCATTTTTTTGGTAAAATTACAGCACATTTTCAGTTATCTTTTTAATGAAAACTGTGATTTTTCAATTTGGCAAAGTGAAACGATTTTTCATAAAACTTTTGATGGTAAATGTAGGTCTAAGAAAAGTGCGAAAAGTAAGATGTGTTTTAACTACAGTAAATTTGGACATGGCGAAATAGGTTGTCATATGAATGATAATAAAAGGAAATATAAGGAAAGAAGTGAGACAAATATGGTTATAGGTTTGAGTGATGACTCTAGTGGGGTTTATTGAAAGTAAATCTAGTTACTGTATGTGTATCTATGTGTTATCATTTCTGCATTTGTATGATCGCTTAATTTTGTTGTATGGTTATATGTGTATTTCAATGTATTTGATATGTGCATTTATATAAATTTGAGAGTAAATTGATTACTTTGTATATCTATGTGTTTTGCTCTGTGAGTTGTAGGAGAGAGTGGTAGTGCAAAGAAAGAGAGACGGTCATTTTCTCCTTTATCTTTGTGAGTATAGTGGTTTGTGAGATTATATAAGGCAATTGTGTGAGGATTATCTCATTTCTCTTTGTGAGCCTCTTTTATGAGTGTGGTAAAGTAACCAACTATTTCTTCCATTTTCTTTGTGAGTGCCACATTCATCCTTCCCTTTGTAGGATAAATCTTTTGTGTATTTTTTGAGCATTGGTGTTGGAGTGACGTTGTGGTACATTGGTCGATTTAAATTGAGCCCCAACCTTTGTGGTTGTCAAAGGTGTTGATTTTTGCCATACTAGGTTTAAGATGCATTAGCAATATGTAGATTGTCTATTGATGATGTAGAGTATAGAAGTTTAGAAGTACATTAGTAGTTTGTACCAAGGATGTGGAGTGTAACATTTGGATCACAAGTAGAAATGTGATTAAATGTTGGAATCATTTATCTATGAACAGACCCTGATCAGGTGGAGTGTGAAAGAGACACTTCTATCACTTCTATAAGGTGGAGACTCATTATCTACTTAGGTTGGGAGAAGGTGATGTGGTGATAGAGGATTATCTCAATGACTTAAGATCTATAAAGGTCTACCGTTAAACATGAATTGAGTGATCAATCTAGTGAGCACGATGGGCGATGAAAAGAGATGTGTTCTCGAGGTGTGAGTAATACAGAATGGGATAGGATAAGTGTAGTGTGATCTTTTGTGGGGTCATTTATCTATTTGTGTCATATGTATTTTGACCGTTTGATTGATTGACTTAGTGTTAATCTGTTGTTTTGTGTGAACATATTTTGGAAAAGATCTGTGGATTATCCTGTGTTATATTTTCATCGAAAGATTATTTGCCCTTGATTATTTACCGTTATTATCTGCTTCTACTTAGGTGTTATTTGACCTTAGCCTTGGTGAATACATGGAGCGGTATTATATGTGTTTCGGGTCCGAACACGAGGTAAGGTCTGTGATACCAATTTTATTGATTACCTCAAGTATAAAGTTTGTGTTTTGACTACTTGCAGATTGATTGGGTATCAATGTGGAGATTTGTTGGGTTTTAATACCTAATGAATCCCGGAATATGATGTAACTGTTGAATTAAATTGTTATCAAGTTCAAAAGCTCGACCCGAAAATAATGTGAGCCGTTGGAAGTAACTTAAAGAATTAATGTTTCTCACGACCCATATATATTACCTTTTGGATGACTTTGAATCTTGACCCGTTTAAGCATTTTATCGGTCCAACTAAAGCGTAACCTAGCCTTATATATGGTGTCTTTACCTTAGCCATAAAGTGTGTGATTTGGGTTTGAAAGGAGAAAAAACAGTTTTGATGATCTTTGAAGCAAGCTTCCGCAACGTGTGAATTAATGTTTATCTTATTTTAATACCTAGTTAGGTTTTGGTTATTTTGGCAGGGTTCTTGAAAGAGTTCATGCTTCATTTGTGGTGTCAGTACCATTCAAATATATGCACCAGCTGGTAAAGTTCTTAGTTTCGTTATACCACCGTTTACACCATTGCCAATAGAAAATAATGCTAATGAGGAAGATGATGCTATTGAGGATAAAGAGAATAACTTTAGTGAGGATCGGCTGCATATCTAATTCACGTGGATGAAGAGTATTGTTTTTTAAATGCAATAATAGATACAGAGCATGTTTGCTATACTCTTTTTAAGTATAGATGTAACCATATTTAGTGAATGGTTTTTATTTTTATTTTGATGAAATATTTTGGATTTAATGTTACATCGATTGACATTACATGTCTTGATTAATTTATTGTATATTTGTACCTTTATATTATTTTGAATAAGGTCAAAAAATTATTATAACATAAATAACAAAAAAAAATATATAAAAATATTCTTTCCACACAAAAAATTATTTGTAGGGAAAAACACGATTTAATCCACAACATAATTTGTAGGGAAAAACGTATTCGTTTCGTAGGCAAAATTAACTTTAACAAACGAATGATTTTGTCAAAGAAAGATTACGCGACGAATTGTATCCGTCTCCAAATGATTCGTAGGGAAAAACTTTAGCCCACAAATTTTAAAAATTTGTCGTCTTTTACGTATTCCCTCGATGATTGCCCCACAAATGTGCCTACAAATTCTTTTCGTCTGCGAAGGTTTTTTCTCACAAATAAGAACGTTTCCTTACAAATAAATTTTGTAGGGAAAACATAAATTTCTTGTTGTCTAAGTTTTGTAATAGAAAAATAAATGAGGATTTTGATTGGATAAATAGCTAGCAGCACGGCCTAGGCTTTTTAACACATTGGAATTTTTTTATAAGAAAATTGCTCAAATTTAAGAATAGATAGAAAATAAAGTGAACTACCGTAATGCTCTTAATTAAACTTGGGGTAAGAACCCCACGCAGGTTTTTAAAAATTCCGTACTACCGTGGGTTTAGCTTTCACAGTAACCACTATTTTATTACTTAGCTCCCGGTTTTACTCTAGAAGGAGAAAAGAGGTTAGCAAAACATGGATTCTCTATGCTAGGAATTATAAGGCATAGCACAAAGAGATGAAAAATACTCTTTTCTTTTATTTCCTTTGTGGAGAGGAAAGGTTTTTTGGTTTAAAAAGATGTAAAGAAATGCCAAGATGTCAGGCTACCAGAAGCAAAGAGCTTGGAAGGGGCCTTTGCAACAAAGAACATTTCTTATTCTTCCCATGCTTTTTTTTATTTTTCATCTTGTTTCGATCAATCACATTTGATATACAATATATATACATCTGTGTTAAATTTTTAACCAATTTTTGTTTATCGTTTCCCAGGCATGCGTGCATGTAGTTAATATAGATATTCCATGCAAATTGATTGATGTCTTTGAAGGATTGAAGGTAAATCACGATCACTGTTTTTGCAGGTAGTACTGAGAGGTAAAGAGCATGAACGGAAGAAGTCATTTTTTTACAGTATAATTTAGTTGCTGACTTCAAAGATATAATTGTAAACAAAACTGATTGGTCACCTGAGAATAAGTGAGACTGATTGCATTATTTCTAGCATAACGGCATGAAAACATTCAGTTCAAAAGGCATGAATGGGACGAAAGGATGTATGAATATGACCATAATCTTTATAAATGCAAGAAAACAAATAAACATCAAATCACAACATATTGTAGCTAGTAACTTATAAGAACTTAGGTTATGATAAAGGGAATACATTCATCTAGCCTCCGTTTGTATACAAATTTATAAATGATCTATAAAAATCATTACGGAGATTCACCCTACCCACTTCCTTCGGTAGACCGTCTTCTAGGATACAGTCAAACATTAATTTCAACTATATATTCATAACTATTACTCATTATTTACCACACATTTCGTGAAACCCATTACTCGTCTTCTTTATAAATCATCTATAAATTTGCCAAACGGAAGCTTATTTAAATTAAATCTTCAAACAAAAAATTCTCTTTCAACAAGCTCTCTCCTCCTACAAATTTTTGCTAAAGAAGTCTATACAATAAACACAACGTTTTAGTACAAAATTATTATTGTTCATGAAAGGAACTCTATATGAACCCATTAAAATACAGCCTCTACACAAATGGAGATCCCTAAGTTTCTTGCAAACTTAGCAATTCTACGACAATAAGTCACGTTTCAAATAAAATTTTAAGTCGGCTAAGTCAAGTAATCTTCGTATATTAAAGAAGTAAGATTTGATGCAGGCAAGTTTGAGGAATGTAAGCTGCTGTTAACAAGGTACTGGAAATCTCTCAAAGTACACCAACCCTATTCCCTATTGCTTCATCAAGCTAGATATTATACATATACAAATATAAATATGTACTCATAATTATAGCAAAGTAGAGAGCACAAACATATACATTCAACTAAGTACTTTTAAGCAATAGAAATGGGTACGTGAAATTAATGAGATTTGTACAATAAAAATTAAAGGTGCACTGAGAAGAGATATAAAACGTACTTGGAGCTTGAGAACTGGAAAAGTCTTCCTTTTTGTGAGAAAATAATCAAGGCTACTTCAGCATCACAAAGTACTGATAACTCATAAGCTTTCTTTAACAGCCCATTTCTGCGTTTTGAGAAGGAAACCAGCCTGCTTGATTCGTTTTCAATAAGCTTCATTTGAATCTTTCCTCTCACCATTTTCTGCGAAATAACCGAAATTTCTGTCAAATAAGTGAAAATCTGATTTAAAAAAAAAAAAAATCCCCATGAAATGACCTTAAAATGATTACCAGGAAGTGGCTCTTGGACTCAGCAGCTTAGGAGAAAAATTAAGATCTGTCAAAAAAATTCGAAGAAGAAATGAGAAAGAGGGCTTCTAAATAAAATCACACACAGATATTTCTGAAAATTTTGGTGTCAAATGTATGAATCCTTCTTCACGGTTTTGTTTCCAAGGGAATTACACGCACGGGAAGGAAATTTTGGGTTCAAATTTGTGTAAAAAATCAGAAGTGCCCAAAACCCTACTAAATTTCCAAGCCAAAAATTCAGCTGCTAGTCAATCCAACAAGAAAAATAAACTAAAATCCAGAAACTCTACCTAGCATGTAAAATTTGTAGATAAAAAAGGTTAGATTGATACCAAATAAAAACAGAAATGCCAAACAATATAAGACAAGAAACGACTGTAATGTACCAGCAGTCTGAAGAACATCAAACCCTGAGAGCGGAAAAACAGATATATAAAGGATTAAGGAATTTGTTCAAAATTTTATAAAAGATAAGAATATGACATTTGGAATATTCAGAAATATATAAGCAGAACAAAGAAAGGATTTCTTCCTTATTGATGTATCAATCTCTTTATTTTCAGACCACATATATAGAAAGACACTTTGACAATTTTTCATTGATTTTTAATACAAGAAAATGCACCATATAGATGTTATCAACGCAGCACATGTATCATTTCTGTCGATAATTCCTTATACCTATGGAATTATTCTTCCTAGTCTATTAATGCCTGTTATGATCTTGTTTGTGCATCAACTCTGCCTAGATCACAAAAAATGAACAAAAGTGAACGTCCAAATAAAAAGTAATAATTTAAAAGAAAAAAAATAAGAGTTCATTTTTTATTAAACCCTTATTTGGACTCCATTTTAACGAGATTTTGAAAAAAATATATTTTAAAATAGTAATTTTGACAAAAATATATAATCAAAAAGTAAAGTAGAATTTTAAATTTACGTATAATATTAGTTTATTAAAAAACATGTAGTTAAAAAAATGAAGAAAAAGAAAAAAAATGCACTAAATTAGAATGGAGCACATAGAAATGTCTTTTTGACACTGTTAAGAGCATATAAAAAGGGAAATTTTAATAATAATAATTAGGCAGTAAAGTTTCTTGGCTGTATGTCCAGATCATCGTACGATGATGTGATGTATCGACTCCATCATAAAATGAAAAGGGCAACTTCAATAAAAAATTAAACACCATATCCAAGGTTGGTCGGAATTAGAGCTTGTTACGTACCTCACCTCATTGGCTCTTTTGGCCTGTTTGACCGAAGGGTTATTAGACCAATACATATGATACACGTCAGTGTTCTTAGGATGTACAGATAATAATTTGTGGGATGACGAATTGAATTTGTAATTGTCCTCGAACCTTCTCAACCGTTGCTCAAAATTGGCATTTAGCCCCCATTTGACACCCATTATTTTGAAGAATGAGTTTTTGAATAGTGATTGATATAAAGAATGTGTGGTTAAAAAATAAGAAGAATTTTTGGGTTTATGTGTAATATTATTTTATTTGAAGAATGTGTGGTTAGAAATGAGTACTGTAGAAAAATGAGAATGAGAATGAAATAAAAAATGGGTATCAAACAGGGGCTTAATTGCTTGTTAGACAATTCATGAGCACCTTTAAAAAGTTTAGCATTTGTTTGGTTTAAATAAAACTCAAATTTATTTTTAGCACATGTTAATAAAAGTTGATGGTATATATAGCTTCTGTTCGACATACGTTCTTTTAAAATATATTCTTTCAAAACTCATTTTCAATCACATTTTTCAAAAAAATCATATTTTATATCACATCAATAGTTTTTCCATCAATAATTTTTTCTTACTTTTTAACCACGTATTACTCATTATTCACTATTTAAAATACATTATTTTCTCAATAATATTCATCAAATACCCCCATAGTCAAGGAGTTTTAAATCTAATTAAATGTATAATTAAAACTCATTATTAAATTTGACTTGGGTTTTAAGTAGACTTTGTTAGAACCCCATCTTTGGGATATGAATTTTGTTATAGTTATTTTTTGAAGATGTGTCATTAAAAAAAGTAAAAAGGGCAAAAATGTTCGAGGGTAAAGCACCTTGTTTACACATATTATTATTAGACGACCTAATGTGATTGTGAATATAGAATGCGCTATATACTTCTGAATAAAAAATCTATTAGGCTAGACACGGCGATCCCAGTCCACAGGATTAGGCTTCACACAGTTTAACAATTACTCGTCTTCATTTCCAGCCTTCAAGAGCAGAATAGTCTTGAAAACAAGTAGCCATGACATCCCTGCACAGTATCAAGCAAAGGACATGTCTGGCATGCCTCCTCAACGTCACGGTTCATCCATTTCTTTGACAAATCTTCAGCAATCGGGCCAACATGATGCTGTAATACGGCAGCACCTAAGGGTCCAACCAAATTTAGCCTAGTCGCAGCAGATATGACATCTCGCATTGTTATGAACATGTAAGCTCTCTGAGAAGTTTCACCATCAAACCCAAGAAGCCCACATATGAGCCCAAAGATGGGAGCATGGTGCAAAGAGACCGTTGAACTTCGCAGAGATGCATCTCTCATCATTTTAATAGAAGGAACTTCTGAAAAAACAGCTGCAGCAACTCTCATAAGCGCTGATCCTTGAGCTATTGATGCCTTACGACTCACTTCATTGGTAAGTGTTGCATCCAGCAGCCGATCAATTTTCTGCCATGTCTGCATGTCAGGAGACATATTTGCAGAGTGAACAAATGGAAGAAGTAAACTTCCCGTATTCTCTAATACATGGACCACATACTTCCGTAAATCTTCAGGGCCAAAGACCAAGCGAGCTTGCATTGCTGCCTCGAGACCACAAGAATGAGCAAAGCCACCTGTAGGAAGTACAGAATCCAGCAATTGCCATTGGCTCCAGATGCGACAAGAATCACTCGATATAGATTTATCATTGCTATCATTTCTTTCCTCCTCATCCATCATTTGAAGGTGTGGTCCTTGAGCTATCTAACATACAGGGAACAATCCAAACCTGAAAACAGGACAAAGTTTTCAAAATGGGATGTTTAAAAACTTCCTATCCGAGACAAGGTGTTCTAGATGGAGTTAACAGCTCACTTGGACTGAAACTTCCATACAAATTTTCTCAATAACTTGCCTTCATAAAAGAAAAAGGATGACCAAAATAATATAGGATTTTTAAGGATAATTACATGGATCTAATAATGATGTAGTCTAAGAAGATTCCATATTCCACAGACCCACAGGGGCATTTTGAAGAATTTCTTTGGCAGAAAACTTTTCATTTTCTCCTATTCTAATGCCACGACACTGATAAATGAAGCTGCATCCTAGCATCCCTCAGTTGCTTGCTAGTCATCAAATCATTCGTCTCTAGGAGTAAATCTGACCACAGCTTCGGGAATATCTATATTTCTAAAGGCAGAAGTATTCCTACGGCCACCCAGTATCGCCTTAGACGTTTATATTTTTGCAGCTCAGTCCACAAGCTAACGACATTTTCACATTTCATCTTTGGCGATGTTAGAATTTTATTAAAACTTAAACTTTATGATCTTGCCAAGATCTTCATGTCAAACCATCAAGAATCTGAATTAACGCGGAACATACCTTAATCAATTGATTTCTGACTTGATTAATGAATCTTGAATCTAGGTCTGTAAATCTTCAGTTTGATTGCTTCAAATCTCCATCTTAATTCCTGATTGTGGGTTTTATGGATCTTCCTCTTCATATGCTTTCTCTTGTATTCTTGTGTTGATGGGATGCCACAAAGAATGAGAAAATCACACATGAATTGGGGACCATAACCCTTTATATATTTCCATATGTATT